AACTCTTCTCACAACAGTTGAGCTTGGACAAATGATACCTCAATGCATCCGAAAGTTTGCAAAAAGTAGGGGGAAATAGCTTTCTAGTGAATTCTTCAGAATATAAATTATTCGTTAACAGTTGTTCCTTCTTTGAACTCATCAGCACAAGTAGAATGCAGGTCATCTTGTCATGAGTTTATCATTTTGAGTGACATTGCAAAGAGAAAGTTGAAAAGTAAGTAAATTTATAAGTAGGCTAATAATTCGACATAAAGTATAAAAGCAGAACTAATTTAGTAAAAAATATTTTAATTTTTTTACCAGTTAAAAATTAACTCACTAAAAGCACATAAAAGATTGTGACCAGCAGACGAAGAAAGATTACGAGTACCAGCCAAATATTCACATTAAAATCCGCCCAATCAAGAAAATATGAAGAAAAAATGGATATATACGTTATGATCCATTAATAATTTAAAAGTTAAGAACTTCAATTTATTTCCACCACAACCCCTATGAATATCCTCAATTATCACAGGTAGTAGATAAATGTAAAGCTAAATCAGCACAACACCTCAGCCCCTTAATAGATCAAGAATCAAAGTTTTCATCAGAATTAATTCATAATCTATAATTTATCACGTATACTCCCTAGCAAAATCCTTCTAATAAAATTGAAAAAGAAATAAATCAAACTAAATTACAAAGGAAAAAATTACCTGGGCTTTCCAATTGGCTTCAGCATCCTTCTTCTGTTTACTCACAGACGAATCATCCTACATATAAAGCACAAACAAGTCGAAACAAAACCTCAATCCAAAATTCTGTGTATTAAAAACGCAAAACCCAGAAAAACACACATAATTACCGGGTCGTGGAAAGCACGGGTGAAGCCCGGGGGGTCCGGAATGTCGCGGGAGGAATTAGAGGTCGAATTGTCCGTAAATTCCACAGACCACCTGCGGCCCGAGCCCATTACAGCTTTTCCCTTGTCCATAACTGTAATTGTGCAGAGTTTCACACACTCAGCGTGTTCGTGAGTGTGTCGGAATATATGATTGGGTGAATTTACGATCCGGCAGCGAGTAATCGGAGGGTTCTGTATGTGTGTGGTTTTAGACGGCTGTGTAGAGAAGATCTAATTCTACTGTACTTGGGATTCAGCATAGAGCATACAGCGTTGATGTTAGGGGCTGTTTGCTTGCGGATACAACTGCTTTTTTTGGATTTGGGTTTATTGTGTTTCTTTGTTGTTGAAATTGAAAATATTGATGATTGAAATTGAATTAATCTACTTGTACATTATTTTTGTATATCAAGTTTGACACCCTCTCATGTGTAAAAAATATGACCATCGATTTGAATGAGTGTTTTTAAAATCAATGACAATTACGTTTGTCACATCAAATAATGTCAAAAAAGTTGTCAAATTTAATGTACATGTATAAAAATTGATTAAAATTTGGCAAAAAATATTTTAGCCATAAGCCAGCCTATGTATTAGTTTGAAGAAAAATGTTAAATGTACACGGGAGTTGACACTCCCTCCCTCCCTTGTGAGGGGCTTGTACACAAGAGTGTCAACTCCCATGTACGCATTGCAAAGCTCTAGTTTGAATAACCCAAAATTGAGAAAGGACAACTATTTTTTTAAGACAAACGTCAATCATCTACCTTATTAATCACTAAAATAGACTTTTAAGCATGTTTGGGTATAACTTATAAATCTTCAAACTAGTTTATAAGACCAAAATCTACACAAAAGTTATCTTAATTATAAGCAGAGGCGGCTATGAGGGTGCACGAATTGAGCAACCGCATAAGGTCTCAGCATTGTAGAGACACCAAAAAAAAATTTTATTATAAATGCGTATATGTATAGTTAGGGGTGGGCATGCGTTGGGTTGGGTTGTGTTTGGTCGGTTTTTGTCTCAACTCAAATCAAACCCAACATAATCGGTTTGGTCATAATTTAACATAACTCAACTCGTATGAAGGTTGAAACATAATCCAACCCAACACAATCAAATATTGGTCAGGTTGGGTTGGTCGATTTGAGATAACTTGTCAACAAAGATAAAGTATGTGGGTCGAATTGGACGAATTTGTAATTGACTCATGACTTATATAATATTAGGTCTCTATAGTAGCAATAATCAAAAAATCTGAATTATTTTGGCACTTCATGCCCGAAAATGTTACTTGGATAGATTGATATTAAATTATATGAAGTCGAGAAATGTTTTTGGCAATTAAATTATTTTTGTGTTGAATGTGTATTTGCTTATACTATTTTTGATAAAATGCATTCTATTCAAATCTTATAATATTATTCTAAAAGTTTTCATATCTTGTGCCATATTCAAGACTTCTCGTATATTGCGTTTGCGTATATAGAATGTAGTTAATTAATAGTATATAATTTGTGTATGGTTTCCTCAAACTCTTCAACTATTGCACAAAATTTTCGCATCAAGAACTGACATTTTAATCTAGATTTTTCTNAAACTTTTCAACTATTGCACAAAATTTCTCCAACAAAAATTGACATTTTTATCTAGATTTTTCTGAATGTTGTAGCTCTTGAAAGTTGTGTGAAGAAACAGAGTAACTCAATTTCGTCCAAACAATATCATAACACTTATAAAGTTCATAAATATGGTTGGGTTGGGTTGTGTTGGGTTGGGCGAGTTTATTTTATTTTTATGAGTTAACTCATAACCCGACCCGACCCGACCCGACCCACATAAACAACCGACCCACACAATCGATGTAAAAACAACAAAAAAATCAACCCAATGTCGGATTGGTTCAATTTTGGCGATTTTGGCAGATTCGATCTGATTTTGTCCACCACTATATATAGTTATATATTTAAAATGTTTTACGAATTTTAAAATTTTGTTATTATATTAAGTTAAAGGGCACAATATCTACGAAAAAAGCGTAAAAAAAAAACTATAATGTTTTTTTAGTGAAAAAATTATATTACATATTATTGAAAAAAAAAATTCAAATTTTAAATCTTACTTTTTAAAAAAATTAAATTAATTAATTAAAATTAAACTATCTATTTTATCACCCCAATCATAAATGCCCCATTTACTTCATTAATCAATTACCAATCCAACAGAATAATAAACAACCAAAATCCAAGTGATTAAAGTGAAGAGTGAAAAGCTAACCTAGGATTCATTTTCACTATTTCCCTCTCTCGCACCATTTAACCCACAAAGAACACTCAAATAGAAAAGAGAAGAAAATCTACCGTAAGTCTTTGTTGATTGCACTACAATAGTATAATTTAGACAGTAATATCACAATTTTAATGACTGACACATCTTATTGTCAGGTTTAAGGAACGTGAAATGAATAGCGTGCATATCAACATGACTACTAGAATTGATTTGCGTGCTAGTGAAAGTTTTGCAAAATCTTTTACCAAAAGAAACAAATGAGGATTTTGATACATTAACTTATTTGAAAAGATTTGATTGATTTCCAAATACATTTATTGCTTATAAAATATTGTTGACGATTCCTATTACTGTTGCATCTGTCGAAAAAAAAATTTCAAAATTGAAGTTATTAAAATCTTATTTGTGATCAACATTTACAAGAACGATTGCTTGGGCTACCTTTGATATCCGATGAACAAAATTTACTTGAACATATTGATTACAAAAGTTTAATTAGTAAATTTACTTTTAGAAATGCAAAGAAACATTTTTACTTGATTTGTTGCATTACAAGATTTACACATGTTATTTAGGGCGTGTTTGTCATCCTTTAAAAATTAAATTGTTTACTACAGTATCATTTCTCCACCACACATTCACATAATAAAATATTCTACACACAAACCAATAAAATTTTTTTAAATATATCATTTCTCCACCACACATTCACTCAATAAAATATTTTACATATAAACCAATAAAGTTTGTTTAAATTTTAACCACACATTCCCCAAGAAATACTATTCAAAACTCTATTCTTTCTCCCATAATGGGAGACAAATAGGGGATTAATGTTTCTGTTTTCTGGAATTGCACGAAGTGTTTAGTGGCCTGGATGGTGCTTTGGCGATAAGATAAATTTTGGTGAAGCTTGTGAGTCTGTGATGATGTTTTGAGGTTTACTTGTACTTTTCTTATTCAAGACATGTAAAAAATAAATAGATATTTAAATGTCATATTTTTGTAATGAAATGATATTATTGAAACATATTTTTTTTCTTAACATATTTTTTAAGTTCATGAAAGGGAGCACCATTTTATAATGCCACACGGGCCTAAAATTTCAGGGCCCGCCCTGATTATAGGAGAAATAAGGACGAGGCCTGATTTTACCGACTATAACTGAACAATCAATCCCAAACCGTTTTTCTTGATTTTCCAGTTTTTATTTCATTTCATATAATATTTTAAAAAATACATTTGATGATCGCATGCACGGTCCCTACCCCTGCCCCGCACACACCTCGGTCCTGCAGCCTTAATCGAGTATGCTGACGACCCAGCCCGCTCCTGCTGCCTTAATTGAGTATGCTAACGAAATTAGGAAACAAACATACTCTACAAGATGAAGGACAATAATGACTGTCCCTCCTCTATCCACTCCGTTGCCATCCTTAATTCTAAACAAATGCCTTAGGTAGCTCTATATTTATGTCTAAATTGACCAAAAATACTCCCTAATGCTTTTATAAAAGCATTTGCAAAGGGTTTCTATATTTTCAATTATAAAAATTTAATTCCTGATGTCTAAACATTACTACACCTTTAATTACTATTACGCTTTCAAAAAATAAAAAATTACGCTATTCATCCAGACTTTGCTTATTTATTGATACAAACATATCTACTTCAGATGCGAAAGATTTATATCAAAATTCACCTTAGTGCATCAGTAATACATTTCATTGCAGTTTGCATAAGAAAGATATCCTGTCACATTATTTTTTTCTCTGTGCCTGTCGCATTATATCTACGAAGTTAAATTTATCGGATTAAGTTTCATCTCCTTTTACAAGAAAACAAATCCGAGATATTTGCCATAATAAACCCTGCAAACACCTGAATAGAACACACTAATCAGTCGAAGTCTGAAAAATTCTGAGAATGATAAGCACCAAGAAGAAAAGAGGTATACCTGTATGCATCCAAAGATGTATATGGCAGAATAATGCCGTCCATGGACGAACATATCTGCTAACATCGCTAATGGTATTGTTAAGGACATGCCCAACGTTGCAACTAATGGGGTCGTCCAAACAACAGAGAGCGCCCTGTTTCATAGTCCAGTTCAGACATGTTACTACTGCTAGTCGAACTAACTATGCAACTATGTGTAAAACTTCCTTGTTTTATTAATAAAAAGACAAAGGAAACCTTTGAAATACTCGAGTTCTGAGGATGAGTTATATCAGTATCTTCAAATACTTTATGAAAGGATAGATTAGGATCGACTTAGAGAAGTCAGTGTGCTGTTGAGTAGGGAATGTGTTTCGAACATGGGTGGATAAGATGATCCTTTTATCAGAAACAATAGGGATTTTTTTGTCCAAACTGGTAAACAGAGAAATATAACATAAGGAAGTGAGTCGATACCATAGATAATCTGATAGAACACTTCCAACGAAGCCATTGAGCACCACAACTTTGCTGGTGGATGCTGAACTTGGAAATCTGAACTTTGGCTCTATTCCCAGGGCATTAAGTGGCCAAGCTGCCGCACCAGAAAATTTTATTATAACATGGACTCAATATTGTCACAGCAAAGATTAATTCATTCGTTTGACAAAACAGAAAATAATAAGAAGAAACAACAGAGAGAAAAAAAAATCAGAGTTTTAACAAGTTACGAAGGGGGAAAGCGTCCGTCCCTGAACTATACAAATTGGAAAGGAACTACAAAGCAAATATTGGTCTCTTACCAAGCCACCAGAGACCCAAGAGAGTAAAAAGTCCGATATATCCAAAGAACTTCTGAACATCAACCCTTTCTCCCGATCCAGCAGATCTTTTGAGAAGCACTGAAAAGTACCGTAAAATTATAAGACAATTGAGACGAGAAAACAGTATTACTGATTTAACTGGATCAAACTGTTTGATTAAATTTAATAAATCTTTGTCAACCACAATTTAGATTTACCTGTAAACAAGCCATAGAACACTGCGGAGAGAAGACCAAAAATGTCTCCGACGATAGAATGCCTTCTAGTCCTACGTGAAATGAGAAGGGCAAAAGTTAATCTCTATTAAGATTTCCAATAGAAACATTAACTAAAACGACACGATCATGACCCCAATAAGACACTTATGATTAGCTCTGGTGATAGATGGAAATGGTTTAGTCATCAGGGTTTCTTGCACTGCCTATCTGAATATGTTCAGTGGAATGCAATCATTTGTGTTGCACTTGAATATTAATTCTGAAATCGGAAAAGAATATAAATGGTCTGAGTGTCAAACATAACTTCTAGACGGTACTGTTTCCATAAAAGCAGGTGCAGTTTTTACATAAAGATGAGTGTAAATAATGCATATAAACGCGCATAACAACAAATAAAAGTTTACAGCAGATAAAAGGCACTGACTCGACTTACTCGGAGACACTAAACATTTCATCAGGTGCCCAAGTTTTCCCCATGGTAGTCATTGCAACACCAGCCATGCTGATCAAAACAGCAGTAACCTTAGTAACATTTACGGAGTCCTTCCCAATTAGTGCTCCAAAGAAAAGTGTGAAGAGCCCCGATGTTGAGGTCAAGACAGTTGTGCTCGCAACACTGGTATTTGCCAGGGCAGAGTTTGACAAGTACTGCATGCAATACATCAGAGTAAGAAAACCAGTTAAACTCCAGGAACAAATAAAAGGAAGAAAGACTATAAACGTCGATCTTATTGGAAACCTAAGCAATAAAGAACCACTGACATTTTTTTCTTTTGATGTCTTTTGGTGTTATTGAATTAGTATTAATTAAAAAAAGCATATTATTTGCATATGATTACCTCTGTAACAAACCATATGGGAGCAAGATATAAGCTACATTTAATGACTTCCAATGAGCTGACTTCGTTCGGATTGTCAAGAATGTGAAACTCCTCATCTTCTGAATCCTTAAATAACAATGGTTGTCCAGCTTCTGTGTCACCCAAATCCATGTCCGTCCCAAGATAGTTCTTCAAAGCTCCATCTGAATCATAATGTGTTTCACTGACTCTGAAAGGAAAGTCTAGCTCAATCAACGAACTTGAGAGATAATCCTCGCCATGAAGTTCAGTAATCCGATTCCTATTCAGTAAATTGGAAATCCAATCTTTGCAGAATGCTATTGGAAGGTAGACAACCATTAGAGATATCCACAGATATGTAAGAGCAAACGGCTGTCTGTAGTCTGTGAAAATTTTCTGCAAAACTTCAATAAAGTCAAATTTAACACAGGAATCCAGAAGTATTTAAGTCTTGCATCAAAAAATATATTAAAAAAGGAATTATAGAACATTAACTTAAAATTAGACCTGCAGTTTTAACAATATGGTCTACTACTGGATGCTGCCCATTTTGTCTATCAAGCATAATTAGTTAATTCAACTTTTCTGACTTAAAACATATAGGGAATGACAAACTTCATATCTGATGCTCTTAAACCCTCAAACTTCTTAAGTTTTAGTTTGCCTCCTTCTCTAGATAACATAGTTCAGTCCCGGGGATTCAACAACTTTAGACAGTCTATTTTGGATATCATTTATTCAACAAGAAAAAGTACATCTCCAACATGTTTCTAGAAAAGAAAAAGATATATGAATAATTATAGATATCCCTTGTATATTCAGTTGGAAATGTTGCCTCCAGCTAATCTAAAGCACGTGTTTCCTTTTGAGACTCCCGTCCATTAAAAAAGACTGAATTGTTAACAAGAAATCCAATCAAAACAATAACTTCCATAGTCTTGACAGAAAATACTGCAATATCCCTTGTACACCTTCTTCACTTTGCTAAAATTTGCAAGGAAGAGACTATGCCTCATTGATCTGCATAATAATTACTCTTCTTGATCATTCAGACACTTCGAAAAATAATCCAAACTATTCCTAACTATTCCATTTCCAAAAATTTGTAAACCCAAAATCCTAAAAGCTTCCGCTTGAGTTCACAGAGCATATAAAATCTGCACGATTACTCTTCTATTCAGACTACTTAAGAAAATATAACCAGGAATCATATAAAATCTGCACAATTGACTAAATTCAATGAACAAAAAGACAACAACAAAAAAAGTTAAATACATGCATAATATAGAAATGAATGCATGAACACATAATTTAGAGGAAGAAAATTGAAATAAAAATAAAAAATCTAAAAGGCTAACCTGAGTAACTTCTGCAGAAGTAACCCATATCAGCACAAAAGCTCCAATCAGCCCTAACCCAGCTTTGTATTTCCAAGCCATCATCCAATACAACACCGAAAACCAAAAACCCACAAGATAAAATAAATAAATTCGTAACTACTCTGGTATATTTCCCCCCTTTTTCGTTTTCTGTTAGGAGGACTCCATCATGCTTTTCTTTTCTTCAAGAAAGAGAATATTAAAGATAACTATTGCGAATTTGGGGGTTTCGTTTTAAAAGTGTGTTGAATGTTAGATTGTTTTCTGGGGTTTTGACCCATCGGTGGACTTTCCAAGAAACACCCAAAAATAGGTGTCAAATTTTGAACGCGTGAATTCTTCGAGTTTTGGCGTGTAAGAGAGTCAGAAAAGTAGTTGATGATGTGGACTTGTTTCTCAGGTACGATGACGAGACGTTTGAGATTTTTCCCATTATCTTTTTTTTTTTTTTTTTTTTTGATCTTTAGTTTTAAAAATATTAATGTTAACAATAAATTACTTTTAAGAATTTTCAATCGAGGATATAGGAATAACTACTACAGGGACTTGTTAGCCTTTCAATTGAATTGACGGGGATTATATTAGCTCTACACTTTTGTTATTTATATCTTTTCATAATTACCGTGAATATTATTCTATATTCATTTTCGTACTTATATTTCCAATTTTTCCTTATCGACCACCTTCTATAATTAGTATGTTTTGTGCTTGTCTTGGAGCCCTTTTTGCCTAATTTTAATCTAAATTGTAGTTGTTATATGCCATTATACAATAAATTTCATCAAAAAGCCTTACGTGAATTGATTGTATTCTCCAATTATATTTGTGATTTACTTCAGTACCCCTCTATAAAAACACCACCCCCACTGTACACCATAGTACAAAGGGCATTTTGATAATATCTTTCTACAACCTCAAACAAATATTGTGAATTTTTGAATCCATGTGTAGTTTAACGGCTTCATTTTGAATTAAAATTCCCAAAAAATGACTCCCAAATAGACACGGTCTCTAACGAAAGTTTCGATCTTAAAAATCCATTAGGAACGCATAAAAAACTTATTAGTACATTGTAGTTTTAGATAAGCAAAATAAATAATAAATACAACAGTTTGACAAAATATTTGTTCTTCATTGAAAGCATGTTAACAAATTATTTGAATAAAGATCTTCATCATGCACAAGATGTGCATGGAGAAAAAGTTAGAACGTAATGAAAAATGAGCAAAAATTGGGGATCTTCATTCAATTAAAATATGGTGCAAATATAATTATCCTCGAATTGATCGTGTAAACATTTTCACTTAAATCAGCTTCTTTCTCTTTAGATCCATTAATCGTGTCTAGGCCTAGACACGAGGAACAAGAGAAAATGCCCTGCCTAGGTAGAAAAAGCACTTACATTTTCGTTTGGTAAGTAGTATTTTTCTTACTTTGAAATCGATCGAACAAAAGTTTCAGACATGCTAAAACTTAAAGAGGAAATAAATTAAACAAAAACCCCACCCTAGTCCAAATCTAGTTTATGAACATTGCATTTTTTGGCACGAATAACGCGTTATTGATTTGAGATATTTATGATTTTGATAATCATATTTTTATTGAAAACTTAAAATATATATATATATATAAGGTTTCTATAAATTTGTTTGTAACAAGGTGTTTTATACATTTAGGCCCTGTTTGGGAGAGAATAAAGATCTTCATCATGCACAAAATGTGCAGTTAGAACGTAATGAAAAATGAGCAAAAATTGGGGATCTTCATTCAATTAAAATACGGTTTTGCTGCTGGTACATCAAGGTGTACATCGGTGTGTACATCACACTCACATGAGGGTGGGACCTGTTTGAATAAAAAAATATTTTATACAAGTGGATCCCATCCCCATGTGAGTGTAATGTACACCTTGATGTACGGTTCTTGATGTACAAGTAGCATTTTTGATTAAAATATGTTGCAAATATAATTATCCTTGAATTAAATGTGTAAACATTTTCACTTAAATCAGCTTCTTTCTCTTTAGATCCATTAACCGTGTCTAGGCCTAGACATGAGGAACAAGAGAAAATGCCCTGCCTAGGTAGAAAAAGCACTCACATTTTCGTTTGGTAAGTAGTATTTTTCTTACTTTGAAATCTATCGAACGAAAATTTCAGACATGCTAAAACTTAAAGAGGAAATAAATTAAAAAAAACCCCACCCCAGTCCAAATCCGGTTGATGAACATTGCATTTTTTGCACGAATAACGAATTATTGACTTGAGATATTTATGATTTTGATAATCATATTTTTATTGAAAACTTAAAAAATATATATAAGGTTTCTATAAATTTGTTTGTAACAAGGTGTTTTATTCATTTAATGGTCTAGGATAATTTAAAAAATTATTAAAAAGGGAAATCGTCTTATTATATTTGGACACACCTAAATTCGTAAAGTCTTAGGCTTGAGCTCAACATCTTATGCCTTCTAGAACCTTGAATTTTAGACTCTGTCATATTTACTTTACGGGAAATGCTACATGTACAATGGAAGATGAGCACCACTCACAATAGGGGGCTCACTTTTTTTTTGGAATTTTTTAATCACGCGGAGTCGGCGCGCATGTGAGAGGTTGTCAACTTCCATTGTCATCCATTTATGTACAAATAGATTGTCCTTTACATTATGTGTTATCAAAATGTCTATATTATCTTTAATGATGTTTTATTCTCTTTCAAAGTATAATGACCATAACACACGAGAGGAGATATATCGAGAGCTTGCTCTGCAAAACTTTTAACTTTTGTAAAAATGTTTCTTGAGAAATCAACTATGGTTCAATTTTATTTTTTTTAATTTTTTCTAATTAGATATTTTCTTAAAAATTATTGAAACAAATTTTAAAATAACTTCTCAATCTCATAATCAGTTTTCGACTTTAAAAAAGACGTGCAATAGCAGATCCTAAGTTATGAACGTAACAAAATAATTCTCTTTTAGAATTGACCTCAGAACAATTGAATTCTATATTCAACAAATGAATGTACAGATTGCAATTGTTTCCTAATTTAGAGATGAAATATTCTATAAAGAACACAGCAATTATATGAAGCAAACAGACCATTAAAAAATATCATTTTTTCTCAAGAAAACGGTAAAAATTCACCTTTCATTCTTTGAATTCACTTTTTGATTTCTTGAGCACGAGCCTCACAATTCGCCCTTCTCTTCAGTTTTGACCTCCTCCTTTTCTCCAAGTTTCTTTGGCTCTTCAGCCGCCGTTGGTGGCGGCGGAATTGGAGAGAGAAGATCCACTTGCCAGTGGCTCTTCCTCTGAACCCTCTCAATTAATTGTATAATTTAAGGCTCACAATTGTGAGAAATTGTGAGTTTGATGTGAGAAATTTAAGACTAACAATTGTCGGATAGAGGGAGATTGATGTGAGAAATTGGGAGTTCTATAATTTTGTTTTGTTTTGGGAAAATTGAGCAGAGAGAAGTCGGTGGGCCTCTTCCGCCTCGCCTTAAGTCCGGCCCTATTGCCGGCATTGAGAAGAGAGAAGAGAGAAGCCGGCGGGGGATGGAGAGAAGAAGAGATAGGACTTTGAGTTGAGAAGAGAGAAGCCAAGGACAAAAGCTCAAAAGGTGTTTCGCGTGTTTTGCAATTTTTACTGTAGAAAACACTGAAAATGTCCAAAATGAGATTTTTCTCGTTTTGGGTTTTTAGTACAATTTTTTTTTTTTTTGTTTTCGATAACGCGTTTTCACTGTTTTGAAAAATTGAAAACAGAAAACGATCCGAAAACGATAAAGAGAACAGAGCATTAACTTCTGTAAAAATGTTTCTTGAGAAATCAACTATGGTTCAATTTTTTTTTAATTTTTTTCTAATTTGCAACTTGTTTGGCACAACTCAAAATCAAATTAAAATTCAAAATATAGCCGTTATTTGGTTTCACTCGTCTATTAAAAATCAACCATAACGACTAATTTTTCAATTTTAATCTAATTTTATTGAACACGCCCTAGATATTTTCTTAAAAATTATTGAAACAAATTTTAAAATAACTTCTCAATCTCATAATCAGTTTTCGACTTTAAAAAAGACGTGCAATAGCAGATCCTAAGTTATGAACGTAACAAAATAATTCTCTTTTTAAGAACATTCAGTAATTAGGAGGTATTTGATGAATATTATTGAAAAAATAATGTATTTTAAATAGTGATATGATGGGAAATATGTGATTAAAAAGTAAGAAAAAATGTGTAGTTTAAAATGAGTTTTGAAAGAATGTATTTTGAAATAATGTGCGTCAAACAGAGGCTTAATAACTTCTCAATCTCGTAATCACTTTTTGACTTTACAAAAGACTTTCAAAAACATATCCTACTAAGTTACGATTGTTTCAAAATAGTTCTCTTTTTAAAAACAATCAGTAAATGTACAGAAGCAAGCATTGACTTTTGAAGCTCTCAAGTCTTTAGCATCCATGTCCTCCAATCTCAATTTATAAAATTTTTGCTTTCAACCTTCCAAAAATGTGCGTGTGATATCCCTTCGTAATGGAAAATATTTATTTTGTCATTAAATAACCACTCAACACACACTCATCATAATGTCTAACCAAAAGAGAAAACTTGTCTTATTTTCCCGCGAAACGAGTGAATCATTATTTAAATGAAAAAGGACGTAGAAATTGTTCATTTGGCAAGAAAACACATTCTATTTATTCTAAATCAATACACTAAAATTCAAGCTGCACAGTACTGTGGGGGTACATAGTTTCTGTTTCTGAGCAATTCATGAAGATCATGGACAATCCTAAATACAGCATCGGGCCTTGAAAGCCTCGTTGCATTTTGCGATATGGCTTTGAGCTCGTCTTGTTTTGGACCAAACCATTGAAAAACAATATTAGCTATCTCTTTTGGAGACTTTGAAAATTTCCCGCATCCATTTTGGACGACATATGGCACGTTTCCAGCTTCCTGTATTGAAGAAGAAATTTGAGTATGAAATTGTATGACCTTATTGGCATGTTAATAGTGGACGATCCTAAGTACAAGCATTTATTAGATAAAAGTTAAGGGTCCTATACCGTGTGGATAAAAATAGAGTTTGACCAGTTTATGATTGCTTATAAGCTTTACCAAACATGCACTGAAGTTAACAGTCCAATACTGTATACCAAACATACCCAATAAGTCCGTGGCTTGCTCTAGTTACTAACTAAATTATACTGAACCTTATGAAGGCAGTTGATCTGCAGTAATAGGAGCATGTTTGGCTCTGCATAAAGATTACTTTTAAGACTTCCTAAAGAAATAAGTTATATAAGTAAAAAGGTGAATTTGGAAAACATGTTTGGCAAAAGAACCAGTAAGCTTGACCAGTTCAATCAGGAAGGACAGCTCGATTTTGCAAAAAATATTCAAATAAACTGCTCCGCGTGAAAGATTAAATGTAACTTGCCTTAACCAAGAATTGCATGCATTTTTTCAATCAAATAAAAAGAAAGAGGTAACTGTTCCAACCGAGAGAAGAATTTCATCTGTTGCAAAAAAAAAATAATAATAATCGCGGTTACCTGACCAGCAATGTAATCATTTATAATTATAGGGAGTCCTCGAATCATTGCTTCCGCAATAGTTCCTGGACCAGCCTGCAGACAACCAGTATGCAATGTTTGTTAAGATGGATTAGACACTGTTAAAGAAGAAAAATAAACTAAAATCTTGTACATCCAAATCAACCCATCAGTGTACTAAACATGTCCTATATTGTCAAATGGATGATAACAAGTTTTATATTTTCAGATTTCTTTATAGCAACATCAGGCGGAAAAATGTTTAAGCAATGGTGAAATAACTTGATCGAGTAACATACCTTAGTGATAATGCAATCGCAAGCACCCATGCTATCCTCCATTCTTGTGACAAACCCCTTCACCTAAAAAAGCAAAAGCGACTCACCCATAAGTCATCACAATAGAACCCATAATTTACAATTCCATTAACTATTCTCATCTAATGGGATTGAAATGGTATTGCTCCTTTAGGCAATGAAAGAGTTTTTTGGATGAGTACCTGTACGGGAATCTTCCAGTTGACAGATTGCAGTTTGTTGGCAAGTTTTTTATTGCGGCCACAAATCACAAGAACCTGACCAATTGGTTTCTTGTGAGCCTCATCGTACAATGCATCACCGAGTGCTCTTGCAGTAGCCTCAATGGGACCCATGCCTTCTCCACCACCCATTAGTAAAACAGCAGGGAGGTAATCATCCATTCCCATTTCCTTCCTCAATGCATTCTAAAAGTAGAAATATAACTTTCGAACTTCAGGGAGTATAAAAGGTTTTCGAAAAATTTAAGATATGATTCAGCAAACAATGAGATAATATCAAGTCATGCATAAAGATTACAGAAATGCTAAAATTAATCTTCTTTCCCTAGTCCACCTCCCAAAAGAAGTTCCACATCTCGAGAAACTGTACATAAAAGCTAGACCTACTAAATTACCATAGCATAAAGTTCCACAAACGTTTCATACCAACCCAAGTCAAAACAGTTCTTGCCATGGTCTTGTCTCCCCTTCTTGTTTTGAGGAAGGAAGAAAAGAGCAAACAGATAGATCAAAAGGAAAAACAGCAAAAGATATCAAACGTAGAAGATCGAGCTGATTTATTGCTGAGAATGGGTCCGAAAAAGAAGCAATCTTATGAGCTTTGAATTATTAAAACAAGTTACCCCCCAAGTAACAAAAGAAGGATGGAAACCATGCTGAAGGTTACTTGCAAACACATTCAAACACCAATTATGCAATTGATGTGACAGACAATCATCATCTTATATATAAAATAGAAACTAAACCAACCTTGGGACGAACAGGCTTCACAAAGGAAGGCCGTACAGGAAGGCCATAAACTTTAATTTGAGAAGGCTGAAGACCAGCCCTTAGTGCTCGTTTTGCTACCTCTTCTGAAGGGCTATAGCATCTTGTTACAAGCTTATGAAACCTACACATAAAGACGAAATAAATCAAATCTACATAAAAAAATAGCATAATAGGCAAATGGCTGCTGAGTGTACCATGTAGGATGACAAGTAGACAAGTCTGTTACCACTGTGGTAAAAACTATCTTCTTCAAGAGACCCTTAGCCCTCAAGATACGAAGTGGAACGTGTTGCATCAAAGGATGGACACTGATAATAATGTCTGGCCGGTATTTCATCAATCCTCTAGCAACATCTCTGTGGAGAGAGAGTAAAACTAGTGAGAATTAATAAATTCTATAAATAAAAAGCTTATGCAGACAAATTTATGGTAAAGTGGATCGACTAGGAATTGGAAAGTTGAGCAGGGTATATTCCATCTGTTACATATAATTTTGCAAATTGTAAAATCAATACTTGCAACAGGATTTTATAAGAGAATAAAAATTCTTGAGAAAAAAAATTAAGAGAATCACAAGCACAGTAGTAGCATAATGGCCACTAAAATCGACGACCAACAACCATGACCCTCATTGCAATTGAACAATACAGTTTTATAAATATCTTTTTTGTCAGAGTTCCTAACTTCATTGCAAATGAAAATAATACTAAAATAGAATTATAACCTTAAATACTCATCACTGAGGTTCAAATAAGTATGGTGACTTTTAAATTCAGGCCTTCAAAGATTAGTTTTAATCAGAATACTTGCGTTTGAAATACATATCAATAAGTGAATACTGGCTCCAAGGTGGCTGGATTTCATGCCATTGTACTAGTTCACAATTTATGCCAAAATAGACGCAGGTCCTAATCAATTTCTGCCTCAAGAGTATAGAAAACAGAATCCATGGTTCAATTGCAATCAACAGAATAATTAAAAATAAATAATAAATTGGACTATTGGAGTACAACCAAACCTAAAGTTGTACAATCCTCTTCATCAAATGGCAACCCTACAGTAATGTTTTGAAATAATTGATATAACTTTAATATAAAAGATTAAGATTATCATTTCGAAGAAGAAAAAGATTGCAAGTGGGAATTCACATGCAAAACAGATCTACCACTCTACAGACAGCAGTAATATTCTTTCAGATTTTACAAACTTGTAATTTCTATGAGTAGATTAAGAAACAGCCTTACCGAGCGATAAAAGTTGATGTGGCAGCAAAATTGGATTGATGAATCACACGTGGTGCAGAAGCATAATATGTCATCTTCCACAGAGTTCCATGTTTAACAAGGAAGTTATAACTTTTCGGCAGTTGGTTAAATGGCCATGGCGTATGATCCGTCCATAAATCAGTAACAAACACCTGCAACATACACATTTTAACAACACAAAACAAAATGAACAAGGAAATTAAATAAAACAGTGTGGTTCTGCAGATACTTGAAGCAAGGGGAATATATAAAGCACAACGCACAGACATGGCAATCATAATGTGTTTTGTCCTCGTTCTTGCATATAGTATTGGACTGTGCGACGCCTAATTGTAATAGATATTCAATACATGCATTAGGTTGCACCAATTGTTATACTATATAAAGTATTTTAAGGAGGCGCAGCGTATTGGTGAATATTCCCGCTAGCCTTTCTTGATATTTGTCCCGCTTTCCTTTCTTATTATTTTAGAGTTTGTCCCTTCAGTAACATCCAACAAAATTGGAACCATACAAAGTAGATTAGCATGTCCCCCCTGCACGAAGAGACCCCCACATAAATCGAGAAATAGGGTGGCCTTTTGAAGGTGCGAGAGATGCCAGGAAAACTTTATACTTTTCCTCTCCATCATAGCGAAACCTGCCATGGCTCGAGGGTGAAAAACTACAATTAAGTGTCATAGAATTGCTTATTGTGATTTTCATTTTGTTTAATAACCAGAGATTAGGTCTTAAATCATCTTTTCCATATCAAATTCAAACAAATTGATAATTTATCAAAGCAATAAAATATAATCAAATCAACCAGAGACTAACCTGATAATCATCTCCATACTCTTCACGAAAAGCAGCCTTGATGGCCTCGGCTGAAGCCCTGTGACCCCCACCTGTATCGCTCATCAAAATCAAAACCTTCTTAGGACATTTAGAATCACCACTAACCGGCGCTTCCTCCGAATTCTCCAACACCCCATTCCCATCGTTTCTAAACCCATTATTCTCCTCAGAATTAACCCGAGACTCAGCAAAACCAAGTGGAATTCTCTCACAATGGAACTTAATAGCTCTGTTAAACTGATTCAACGCTCTTCTAAACCTAAAGGCAGAACCTTTGGTGCTCAAATTCAATGAAGCCGAAGCCTTTGGCTCCCTTTTTGCATCAAAATACAAGTAGTTCGTTAAAAATGCTGAGTTCCCATCTCGATTGAGCCTCGAATTATTAAACGCAGAAGAACCCAATTCGGATACAAAACTAGAAGGATTTGAGGGTTCTTTCGTCACTGTCGAAGGCTGCATAATTATAGTTCTGTCTTTGCTTCTATTTCTTCTCTTCTCGGTAATTAAATACTTAAATGGGAACTAAAAATGGATAAATCAAAAAGTCCTTTACGATGTTTCGACAAATGTTTAGGAATTTTCGTAATATTCCAAGGATTTCGAATAAACAAAGACTCTGTAAACAAGAAAATTGTCTTCTTGAATCTTAAGGTGGGGGTAAGTTTGCAGTTAATTTATATAAGTTTGTACGGGGCTAAAGTCAAAATGTACTTGATGCAAATTCACTTTTTTGCTTCTTTTTGGATGTGTTCACTTTGTGAGAAATGTTTACATTGACGGTGGGGATGGACGGTGGTGGGTTCATGGCCACGGCGGAGTAGTGGACGGTGGTGGCGGACTCAAGACCATGGAAGACTCATGGACGGTGGTGAATTTTTTAAACGTTTTGGATGAATGGAAAATAAGCTTGACCCCTAAATGCCACTACGACTGCCTAAAAAGCTTTAGTTGACGAATGGCAAAATTTTGCAGTTTTAAAATTTGCATTATGTAGCATTTGACTTTTTAATCATATTTTTTATAATAATATTATTTAGCACATGTTAAAATATTGATATAGATATCATTTACGTGAGAAATTTATTTAAATGAATCTTTTAATTTTACTTTTCATTGAGTCCATTATGTATTGTCACTTAAACTAGTTTTACTATTTGCAGTGTTAGATAACATTATTCAATTTTTTAGCAATAAAATCATCCAAATTTACATTTTCTAAATTTTCACAAGTTGAATTTTATCTCGATGCCTTTGGAGTTAACGTGAAATAACGGGGACATATATTTGCAATATGGAATTGTATTTGATAGACACGATTATGATCTCAAGCATCCGAGCTCACTAATTTGATATTGATTGTTTAATTGATATAGTGAAGTGATCACAAGGAGCAGTTGCGTTAGAAAATGAGATTTGAGAACTTATGCAATTTTAAAAAAGACATTTTGGTCAATTTAATCTTGTTTGGAATATTCGAAATGATCGCTAGAGATAATAAGTGAGATGATACAATTATTGATTATACAATTTCAGTATTTTGAATTAGGTCGAGAATTCAATCTCGTTCTTTAATGCAGTCGAACGAGATTAATAAATTATCTTGATCGATCAAGAGTTAACCCGATTAAGATAAATTTATGGAACTTGGTGTAATTAGGTCTGATTAGTTCTCTTTGGTATCTTCAAAATAAGAACCTAAATAAACTATAAGATTTATAATTTATTAGGATTGGGTCCTTCTAAAAATTAAATTCATTGAGAGTTCAAAGTGCCAAACTAGTAGCCACATGCACTGTACACGAGATAGAGACGTGTGCCATGAGTGTTGTACACACTAGGGCGACGTGTGCCACTCGATATGGGAAGGTCACACATAAGGAAAGAAAAATGTTTATTGTATATCACTATTTACATAATATTTTATAGATTGATCGGGTGCCAAAAAGAAAGTGGAGAAGTTTTCTTTTTATTTGGTTGATGGTGTTTTGACCCAATCAAATCTCGTCACATTATGTGTAGATAAACAAATCTATAACAATCTTATAGAAAATTTTGTAGAGCATGCTATTCCTGAAAACCTATTTATTTTATTTTAACAAAATGATAAAAAAAAAAAATGAAATTTGATTTTTTTTTATATTCTTTTCTTACAACTTGTCTTTGCACGAGTTTAGTTATTTTGAAGGTAATGTTAGTGTGTTAAATGTGTTGAACTATCGTAAAGTACATTCTATCTTGTACATTGAAAAAAAAAAAAAAGAAAAAAAAAGTAACTGTAGCATAACTACATTTCCAATCCCCTACATCACATGAGAATAGCTGGAGCTCTGACCAAACTAAATGAGAGAACTCATTTCACACATGGGTGGAAATCAAACTTTTTCAACAGCATTTTCAAAACTTTCTCCCCAGTCCAGGATTGGCTCTTAGATAAAACTGATGCAAATTGTTGAAAAGAAAAGTCCAAGTCTAAAAGTCATCAGAGACAAGGTTTCCAAATTCCTGCATTTTGAAAGAAATTAAAAATTGAAGATTCCAGTATTGGTCAAAGCACAAAACAACCCCTAAATTTACAATTACTTCAGAAACTACAACATCACTAACAACAAACAGAAACTCGCCAAAAATGTTGCTGACTGTCCAGACGGAGAGGAATTCTTGCTCCACCCATATTTGCAATAACCGAAGCCATCTATGATAAAAATAAAATAAGTAGAGATAATAAAATAAAAGAGATGGAATAAGTAATAAAACTTGAAAAAATATTCATAATATTCTGTTGTTTGGTTGGGGTAGGGATGAACATGGTTTGGTTCTGTTCGGATCGGTTCGATTTTGAAGAGAATCGAATAGAACCAAAATTTTCGGGTATTTAAAATTGGAGCTTGTTTGGGAGGGATTTTAATCCAATTAAAATTGAAAATATAGTCGTTATTGGGTCTCACTCGTCTAATAAAAGTCCACAATAACGACTAATTTTTCAATTTTAATCCGATTTTAATTTCTACCAAACAAGTCTTTAACATTTACAGCAACACTACATAAATATAACTAATTACATATTCATTCGTAGCTTTGATGGGCAGTTGGAGAGGGGAAGTCGAACTTGGCATTCGACGGCTTCGATTTGGACATGTAGATGTAAGTTTTCAATTTATCAAATGATTCGGGATTAGTAGATGTGATTACGGAATGAAAGTATGAAATTGGAAATGAAATGATAAAAATTAAAAATGTCTAGATCTTGGGCTAAATGGGCTAACAATGAAATTAATAATTCGGCCGAAAAATTAAAACAAAAAATTTAATTTAGAAATTAGGTTGGATTGGGCTAACTAGACATGAACTTGGCTTGAGAGTTGGAGCATTGATCACTAAATTAGTTAATTTGTTTAGAAAAAATAAAAATAATTTAATTAATTCAATATAAAAAATTTTAAAAACTATATTTAGATTTGATTCTTCTTCGGTTCTAGTCTAAAACCGAGAACCGAACCAAATACATCGGTTCTCGATTCAAATACACATTCGGGTATTTAACTTATGAAGAATCGCTCGATTCGATTCGATTCTATTCGATCCGGTCAAGTTCTGTTATGTTTGGGAGTTTTGTCCCGCCCTAGTTGGGGATAGAATTTCACATCATATCCTCTTGGTGTTACTTAATATGGTAAATTATACCTTTGAACTACTCATTTCAATATTCGACCAACTATCGTCAATTCTCTTTCTCCATGTGAAGAATTGGCCATTGATCGTTGAAGAATTGCGTTTGAAAAAACTATAAATCATGAAAGAGGACATTTAGAATTTTAAGTTATAGTATTATTTGTTGGATAATTTCAGCATATATGGGGCCACACGTTGTATATTGAAATGTGTGGTACTATTATTT